TTCCAAATTTTCTCCCTTATTCCCTCCTCTCACTCCTAAGAGAATAAGCAATTTAACATAAGTTACATATGTTCTCTGCAAACTTTCAAGTGCTATATGTTAGTTACTTTTATTACCAGCATTACTGATGATATTGACTGCAAACTACCTCGAATAGTTTGGAGATTTTGACAGCCTGCAATAGCAACTGCTGAATACCACACAAGTTATACATGAATAATGGCAGATTCTATATGTTGAGCCGCAATTCCCGAGTCTCCTCCGATTGGAGGGTTTTAAAGGAGGTTTCCCTCCTTTAGAAGGATTATGGAGGGTTCCCAAGCCAGTCATTTCTCCATTTCCCACCTGGCTGCACTCCTTTGGACTTCCTGATCATCCCTGGGGAACCAGGTACCTCAGCTTCTCAGTGTGTCGTCTTCCACCATTTGATTGTAAGCCCCTAGAGGGCAGGAACTACCTTTCTTTTTGGTGTTTGTATCGCCAGCGCTTCCCATAGTCAGTGCCCAGTATACAGTAGATATTTAATAACTATGTATTGACTGACTGATTACTGACACATTATTCTCCTTCAAATTCTCTATAGTTCAGCCACACTGACTTGCTGGCTATTCCCTCTCTGGACATGCCATCTCACATCTCTTGGCCTTTGAAAGGCTGTTCCCTTACCTGTAACGGACTCCTTCGTCACTTCTACCTCACAAAATCTCTAGCTTTCTTCAAGGCTCAGCTCAAGTGCTAGACCCTGAACGAAGCCTTTCCCCAGCTGTTACTGCTTTCACTACACAAAATTACTGTATCTACCTACAAATGTTATTTCTTTCAAGAGGTGAGCTCCTTGAGATCAGGAACTCTTTCGTTGACTCTGTAGTCCTAACACATAGTACAGCGTCTTACACGGTAGGTATTTAAAATGCTTGGTGTCTATAGCAGTTATGGTGGCATACTTACATGAATTCAATAGGAAATAAAAACCTTGCCTGAGCCACCAAAAAAAATTATTTTACTCTGTTTATTAACACTGAAGTAAAGACAGTTATCTAATTCCACCAGTACACACACACACACACACACACACACACACACACACACACACACACTCTCCCTCCTCTCTCTCTCTCTCTCTCTCTCTCTCCTCCCTCCCTCCCTCCCTCCCTCCCTCCCTCCCTCCCTCCCTCCCTCTCCTCTCTCTCTCTCTCTCTCTCTCTCTCTCTCTCTCTCTCTCTCTCTCTCTCTCCCTCCCTCTCTCTCTCTCTCTCTCTCTCTCTCTCTCTCTCTCTCTCTCTCTCTCTCTCTCTCTCATTTATTTATTTATTTATCAGAAGAAAAAGATTCACTGGGGTGAGGATCCTGCAGCTTCAAGGCCACTCCTGGCCCTCTACAGCCTCAGGTTCGTTCCTTTGACTGAATCCTAACTGAATCAAACTTGGATTCAAAGGGCTGCACTTGAGGATCTAGAGGGCCACATGCTAGCCTCAGGTTCCCCACCCCTAAGAGAGCCCAAAGATGAGAACACATGATTTCATAAGAAATGAATATCATGTGATTTACTTACACCATAGTACCCTTTTCCAAAAAAGCACAATCAAATTTGGGAACAAGCGAAAATACTTTTGCCAGAGTTATCTCTAACGTTTAGTTGGTTGGCTGGTCTCTTCCTCCTTTCTCTTTTTGTTCCTACAATTCTCCTGTCTAGAATGCTCTCCTGACTCACCTCTGTCTTATTTATGTATCACCTCTTTGAGATCTGGCTCAAGATTCATCTCTCCCAAGCAGCCTTCCTTGAATGATTATCCTCAAACTCCTATGATCATTCTGCAGGTTGTTTTTCCTTCAGTACCTATATCTACAATTGGCACAAAATAATCCTGCATTTTTTTTTGTCCTTGGAGAAAAAGGATACAAATACATAAAATACCAACTAGATTATAAGCAAATACTTTCCTTCTTTTTCACTGGCCATAGTACAATGCTGTGCTTGTACCAAGTACAAAGCTGGCACTCAAGAAATGCTGAATGACTGAATGAAATCAGTAAGTGAAATAAAAATAAGCTCAACTCAAGTGCCAACCCCTACATGAGGCTTTCCTTGATCCCCACTCCCAGTTGTTAGTGCCACACCCCCCAAAATTATGTCTTTAAATAGACAGAGGGTAGAAACTTTTTTTCCCTCTGAATTTCCAGTATCCAGTACAGTGTACATTCAGTAGGTGCTTGATAAATGCTTGTTGAATCAATTAATAAAAAGATTAACTCAAAAATTTCTAAATAAGGTGATTTGCTTCATTAAAATCACCATTAAAATCACTTCTACACATTTCCCCCCCCTCTTTCCCTGGAAGTAGGGGTTCTTAAACTTTTTTGTGTCAAGGATTCCTTTGGCAGTCTGGCAATCTATGGATTCCTTCAGAGAATTTTTTAAATGCATAAAATAAAAAAAATAAGATTGTGGAGAAAATTAATTATGTTAGAATAAAGATGTATTTTTCCCATCCAAGTTCACAAAACTATTAAAAATCTTTCCAGACCCCTTAGAGATCCCTACTTAACAAATCATTCCACTTTTTGTTTTCGAAGCATGCCAGATTTTTTTTTTTCAGTCTAGTCCTGCGATTTCATCTAGTGTGGGGGAGGTCCAGGTATGGGAATTCTCTCCACCTATGCAAATCCACAGTTTATCTGCAACAAATCTTGGACTGAAGAGAAGTTAAACAACTTGTTCTAGGTCATACAACTAGTTTGAACCCAGGTCTTCCTTACTCCAACACAGGCCTTCTATTTTCTTCAAATGCTACTTCTAAATTCCAGATAAAACGTTATTACCCTAATGCTGTACAAAAAACAATCTCAGTATCAGAAGGTCATTTAATCTAATCCATAACTGAATCAGGATACCCTCCACTTCAAGACCACTAGTGAAAGGAAATCTATATTCTAAGTCCACTTTGGACCATTAGAATTATTAGGAAGTTTTCCTTTACATTGAGCCTAAATCTGTCTCTCTTTATGTTCTACCCACTTCTTGTTCTACTTTCTGAGGACAAATGGAATAAGTCTAATTCTTCTTCCATATGAGAGACCTTCAAATACTTACAAAGATATCCCACCATCTTTTTTTTTTACTTTCAAAAGATCCTCTGAAGGTAAGCTCTCAAGGCCCCTGACCTTATTGACAGCATTTCTCTGGTTGCTCTTTCCTAAAATGTGGTACCCAAAACTGATCACAATACTCCAAATGATATCTGAGCAGAACAGAGCAGATAGTCAGACTCCCATTTTCTGGACACTATACTTCTCTTGATATAGTAAACTACATGCTATGTTGCACTGCTGACTCATTTTGAACTTGTTAAGCATAACTTTCACAAGTTTTCTGCAGAGTCTACTATGCTCATTTGGTTACATCCGCCACTGTATTTACATGACACTGTCATCAAATATAAATTAACAACAATTAATGTATGTAAACAATGAATAAGGATAAGGATTAGACATATATGTGGTTTCACTGTTTCAAAAAACTTCCAGTGACTAACTTCCTCTACTAGGGCAGATCAGCACCTTCTTTGCAATTTACTGTCTTTAAAGAGTTCCTAGAGCACTGAGAATTTAAGTCACATTGCATCTGTGTCAGAGGTTAGATTTGAACCCAGGTTTTCCAGGTTTAGGGGGCCAACTCCCCATCCACTAGTAAAAGCTCCCTCTTCTAAGTAATAAGTACAGTTAAGAAAGTATACTTTTGAACTTTCCAGTCTACCACTGTATTTCGTTTTTGTATTTGAAGTTTCTAGCTTTAAAAGTCTTTTAAAAAGCAAGCCTGAGATTGGCACCAGACTTTTGTAAACTAAACAAAAGGGGCAAAACTCTTATCCTGGCAATAACTCAAACTTCAAACTCGGCGTGCCTTCATTGTAAACTAAGGCTCATTAACTAAACAAACTTGCCTTTTCAGCCTTCTACCTTCAATGAAGAGCTAAGATCTTGTTGGGTTATTGTTGAAAGTCAATGATGGGTTAAATTCCCATAAATTAATCAGCATTTTGGTGGTATGCCCAAATCCACAGCAGGCATGCGTTTTTTAAAAACCCATCTAGGGAAGTGAGGAGTAAGAAAAGAAGGCGGCGGCGGCAGTCTGGTACTTCTCCAGTTAAATCCAATAGGTGTCATGCAGGGAGACTGCCAAGGCTTAACAAAAAATGAAAAAGTATCCCACGGAAACATTTAGAAGTTCCCGTCTTGCCCCAAATAAATCTGAATTAAACCTTTCACGGCTATAAACCATTTCGACTGTCGCTGAACTTTTCCAGCAAGAGTCATTGGAGTTTCCCAAAATGCCAAGCTGGTGACCAGAAACCTACTTTACTAGGTAGAGAAGGATACTGCCTGAGTTTTGAGTTCCAGGGGAGACAAGGAAAACAAAGTCATGGTCACTGTAGGCAGAGAGGGTCGAAGACAAGTGCTGCTCCGGGGTCGGCTCCTCCAGTCCCTCGCCAAAGCCCATTGCTAACCTCAACACTTCCCCAATCCCCACTCACTCTCCACCAGGATCTCCTGGTCGCCTTGCCAGCGCGGCTTGTCTCAGTCCCATCCTTCTCTTGCAAAGCCTGTGCTCGCCTCCCCCCCCCCGGTTTCAACTCACTCTCCAGCAGCACCTCCTAGTCCGCTCGCTTCAGCACGCCTTACTCCGTCCTGTTCCGTCCTTCGCCAAAGCCAGCGGTCACCTCCCCCACTTCTCACTCACCCTCTAGCAGCACCTTCCAGGCCAGCTTGCTTGAGCGCGTCCCCCTCCCCCTAGTCCCTAGTCAAAGCCTGCGCTCGCCTCCCCCAAGTCCCCACTCACTCTCCAGCAGCACGTCCCTGCCTACCGGCTCCCCAAGTCTTGTCCCATCAGTGGCCAAAGCCCGTGCTCGCCTCCCACCCCGGTCTCCACTCTCCCTCCAGCAGCAAGTCTTGTCCCATCCGTGGCCAAAGCCCGTACTCGCCTCCCCAAGGTCCCCACTCACCCTCCAGCAGCACCTCCTTGCCGGCTCGCTTCAGCGCCTGCACGGCCTGGTCATGGGTGGCCTGGCGCAGGTCGGTGCCGTTCACCGACAGGATGGCGTCGCCCAGCCGCAGCGCCCGACTCTGGTCGGCCGCCAGCCCAGGGAAGATCTTAGAGATGAGGATCGGCATCCGGTTCTCGCGGCCGCCCTTGATGCTGATGCCCAGGCCGCCCGCCTCCTGCTTCACCACCCGCACGCGCCGCACGGGCGGGGAGCCCCCGGCCGCGGCCGCGGCCCCGGGCGGGCTGGGCGGGCCCAGGCCGCGGCTCGGGCTGCCGGGCAACGAGTCCCCGCCGCTGCCGCTGCCCCCGCCGCCGTTGGGGAGGCCGTTGAAGGCGGCCAGCACCGGCCCCAGCGGAGGGTCCGTCTCGGCCGCCGCGTCCCCGGTCAGGCTCAGGCTCTCGCCGCTCAGCTCGGCCACCACCCGCACCCAGCGCTCCCGCAGCAGCAGCTCCACCAGCCCCGCTTTGGTGGCCCTCGTCCACACCGCCATGGCCGGCTCGGGTTCCGCCGCTGCCGCCGCCGCCGCCGCCGCCGCCGCCGAGGCCAGGCTCATTCCCAACCGGGAGTCCCGGCGCTTCCCCCTTCCCGCCTGCGGGGGCGAGGCCCCGCCCCCAGCCCCGAGAATCCATTATTCATGAGCTGCCCCGCCCACTCCTCTTTTTACCGCGGGGGCGGGGCCGCTTCCGGGAAGGGGGGGGGAGAGACAGCTGGCTCTGGCCGGGCCAGAGAGCTTAAGTTACGGGGGATCTCCAAGCGCAAGGTCACAGCTGGGAGGGCTCTTCGAGCGGAGAAAGTTGGGGCTGGGGCAGCTTAGAACAAAGTGTCAGAGCTGGGAGCTTAGAACACAGAATGTCAGGGTCAGGACAGAGCTTAGAACGTGGACTGTCAGACCTGGGAAGGAGCTTAGAACGCAGAGTCAGAATTGGGACAGAACTTAGAACACCGACTGTTAGAGCTGGGAGGACCATAGAACATGGAATGTTAGGGCTGGGAAGAAGCTTAGAACACAAGAGTCAGAGTTGGGACAGAACTTAGAACATGGATTATTAGAGCTGGGAGGACCATAGAACATTGAATGTTAGGGCTGGGAAGGAGCTTAGAACACAGAGTCAGAGTTGGAAGAAAACTTAGAACATGGACTGTCAGACCTGGGAGCATAGAACATGAAATGTTAGGGCTGGGAGGGGCCATAGAACAGGGAATGTCAGAGCTGAGCCAACCCTCTTGAACACAGAATGTCTGGACTTCAGAGGGTCCTGAGAATTGATAATGTCAGAGCTGGAAAGGACTTTAGTTTAACCCCTGGGTTAACAGAGAAGGAAACCAAGCCCCAGCGATTGTGATTGGCCCTAGGATACCACTTAATGTGCTGAAGGCAGCTTAGCTGACTCCAAATTCAGGGCCCTGCTATATGGAAAGAGGAGAAATGCTTTGGGCTCTAGCTATCTCCTTAGCCCTCAACCAAAGAATCTGATCCATTTATGCCAGATGTCTCAATAAATGCAACTGGGCAAAATTAAAATTCCCTCTGGTAATCTCTTTATTAGCCTATGAAATTGAGTTGCATGGGCCCCAGGTCCTGCAGCTTCTTTCTGAGCTCAAACAGCTCAAAGGGTTTGGTCTATAGAAGACACAAGTAGAACAGCTGTCAGCAGCAAGATAGTGAGAGTGGCCTCCAGCCCCAGAGGTGAGGTTCACACATTTCCCACAGGTCCCAAGGGCGCAATAAATAATTCTTGCAAAGGTGAATTAAGATCAAAACAGGCTCTGTTCATGGAGCGTGTCCATAAAGTACATGCTGACACCTGTAAATTCCAAAGGATCTCGATGTGCCCATGGGAACACCAGAAGGTTCCATGATTTTCTGTCAGCCTAGGGAACTCCAGGGATCTGAATTCCTTCCACCAATACACAACCCTCCCAGGACTTAAGTAGAATTAAGGAGAGTTGTCAGAAGAACAAAGACTCAATGATTTGACCAGGGTTTCACAAATATTAAGAGGGAGAATGTGAACCCAGATTTCTGTGACTCCAAGGCCTAATCCCTGGCAGACTGCAAAGTAATCATAAATCCCCAGTAAGATCCTTGGAGGTAGGTTATTTTATTTTGTTTTTGGAACCTAGCGCCCAAGCACAATTTTTTTTAAAGCAAATTTATTTATTTATGCGTGCATGCAGTTTTTGGTGAGGCAATGGGGTTAAGTGACTTGCCCAGGGTCACACAGCTAGTAAGTGTCAAGTGTCTGAGGCTGGATTTGATCACAGGTCCTCCTGACTCCAAGTCCAAGGCTCTATCCACTGCACCACCTAGCTGCCCCTCCAAGCACAATTTCTTACAGAAAATATGTGTGTTGAATGAATAATACCTGATATTTATGGGGGCAGCATGCTGTAGTGGCCTCAAAGCAGAGAGGAACTGAATTCAAGTCCTACTTGTGAAGCATACCTGCAGTGACCCTCCCCTAACCCATGCTCACTGCCCTCCCCTCACTTAATCACTCAATGCTGTAGGCAACTCTCTCTTAGATAGTTAAACTGCAGAGGAGGTACTGACCTGCTTTGGTAAAGTGAATTTCCATACCTGGGAATTCCCCAAACCAATTAAATCACAAGTCCAGTTCCCTTTTAACGAGGATACATTATCTCATTTGACCCTTCCAACACCAGTGAGGCAGGTACTTCAGGTGCTATCCTCATTTCATAGACAAATGCATATTTATTTACAAAAACATTTCTAGATAAATAAATGGGCTTGAAAAGGCTAAATGACTTACATGGAGGTCATGTATCTAATGTAAGTTGGAGGCAGAATTTGAATTGAGGTCACTTCTGATAGTAAGCCTTGTGTCCTGTCCTTTGTACACTACAAGGGTGAAAGGCTGAATCCAAGCACTCTCTAAGAGAGAAGAGTGGGGAATAAGCATTTATTAAGCACCTATTACTGCCAAGTACTTTGCTAAGCACTTTACAAATATGATCTCATTTGAACCTCACCACAACCCAGGAAGGTAGATGCTATTATTATCCTTATTTTATTGTTGAAGAAACTAAGGCAAACAGAGGTTAAGTGACTTGCCCAGGGTCATATTGCTGGTAAATGGCTGAGGCCAGATTTTAACTTGGGTCTCCCTGATTCCAGATCCACTGCTCTAGCCTGTATATCACTTAACTTCCTTCTCAAAGTCTCAAAGAAGAGTCAATTTTAAAAAAATCTAGTCAGAGGTTTATCAATCCCATTAAGACATAATTCAGGTCTTACTAAAAGTCATTATAATAGGATTTGTTTTTGCAATAAGGCAAGATTTTCCAAGTTGCAAATTTCATCAAAGTTAAACAAACCAGACCTCCCCTAAATCTACTGCAAAGAGGCCTCCTGGGTCTTCAGCAGGTCTAGATATGCCCAGTGGTCCTGTACAGCCTGAAGACAGACAGACACACACATACACACAGGCCCCTAGAGGCCCATTTAGATATCTGTAAAGTTATGTGATGAACAAGAGGGCAAATTATATAAAATTGAAATGTAGAGGGAAAATGTTATTGTTTAGATGGTTTGGGATGCTTCCTCTCCTTTTAAAAAACCTCTGGTAGAATTCCCGGTGAAGTTTTCCTTTTGAATTTTTGCCATATAGGCAAACACTTAAGCTTTGCACTCAATGTCCTCCATAATTTGAACCTAGCCTTCCCTTTTGGCCTCTTCTCCCCACTATTTCCTTAAATGAACCTGCTAAACTGGTTTATTCATTGTCCCTTTAAACATGCCTTTACTTTTTCTGCGTCAGAATCTTTTCTGAAATGTTTGCCTTCCTCTTGTGTCCCCAGAAATCCTATCCAACCTTAAAGGCTTGGTTTAAATTCTACCTTCTCCATTAACTAACCTGGACTAGTGAAACTTGAAGGGACCTTAAATCTAACATATCATTTTGCATGAAAATGAGTTCTCAGCTCCCTCCTTCAGGAGGGCTGCAAAAGTCTCATTAGAGTTAGTGTGAGAATTAGCACTAGAATTCAGGCTTCAATTGGGAGGCTAATGGGTTTTTCCACCATATAACAGTTAGCCCCAGCTGGAATCCATCTTTCCTCTGACCTCCAAGAACACTGAATTCCAGCGACATTTAAGACTCACCTAACTGCAAGTTTAAGAGAAGATGCTTAAAGGAAGAGCTTAATAGGCTACACTATGCCCTCAAAGAGCTTGGATTCACTTCTTGTCTCTATCACTCATGTCACAGTTGTCATTTATTAGCTTTCCTGATTGCCCCAGCTTGTGTTTCTGCTCAAATTGGAATCTCATTTCCCACCTGGCTGCACTCTGTTGGGATTTCTCTAACTTTCCACCATGCCCCAGGGACCTCACCATTGGGAAGATTCATCACTCTGCACGATCATATCAACTTTGATATTAACATCCCATCACTACCCTCTGCTCAGGACACCCATGTCTCATTTTCCACCTGGCTGCATGACTTTAGGATTTGTGGCTTTTCCATTCTCCTGCCCCCAACTTTTCAGATTCATTTGTGTGTTTTCTCCCTTTAGACTGTTAAGTCTTTAAGGGCTGGAACTTTTTTTTTTTAATTTACATCCCCAGGGCTTGGCACATAGCTTAATAAATGCTTATTGACTATTGACTAAATTATTCTAGAACATTTTGTCTAGATCTCCCCTTGGGATCTAATGGGTTATTTAACATAATACTGATTTTTAAAAAATTGTTTCAGCATGCATCTCACTTGGTATTTTGTTCATTTTGGAGATCCTCAGGTGAACTGAAAATTCCTGAGGGTAGGGACTGTAATTTTTTGTCTTCAATAATATAAGAGTATTAAATAATATTCACATATGGTTTTACATACTGTTACTCATAAGAACTTGTGAGCAGGTAGAAGTATTATTATCTCAATTTTACAGAATAGGACAGAGGCTCAGAGAGGTTAAGTGACCTAGTAGTGGTAGTATTAACAATAATAATGATGATGCTGATGATAGCTAGCATCTATATAGTGCCTATTGTATGCTAGGTACTGTGCAAAGTGCTTTACAAATACTTCATTTGTTCCTCACAACACCCCTGGGAGGTAGGTACTGTTGTTATCCCCATTTTACACTTGAGGAAATTGAGGCAAACAAGGTTAGATGACTTGCCCACGGTCACACAGATAAGTGTCTGAAGTCAAATTTGAATTCATCTTCCTAATTCTGTTGAGGTTTAGGGATACTGGGTTGCTGGGACCCTGAAATAGCAACACATGGCCAATGACAAGGTTTATTAAAGATTGGCCATATTGGCCAGACTCTTAAGGAATCTGAACATTTGTGACACTTGTCACAAGCAGGTTACAGTGAATCTGAGCCATTGGCTAGATTTTAAGAATCTGAGCATCTTAATGGAGACAAAATGGACCATATATGCAGAAAGACTGTAGGAGGGATCTAGGAGTGGCCAAGTATTTTGGGGTGACTATGAGAAGGGAGGATCTAGGAAGGATCTTGATGGGGCGGGACCAGTAAGCTGAGGTGACTAGAGGAGGGGGTCTAGGGAGGATCTTGATGGGAGTGACTAGGAGGTTGAATGGAGGTAGATAGGATCAAGGGTGGGAAGGGTGGAAAGTGG